GCCCCACCCCCTTCCCGGGCCCGGCCCCGGCTCCTTTTGTTGTAATTGCAGCGCGGTCACCCCCGAGGCCAAGGTGGCTGCACCGAAGGCGCAGCCCAGGCGCCGGCCCTTTACACCCGGCTTTCGGGGCCCGAGTCTCGAGGAGCCAACTTTTCCTCCGGAGGGTTCCTCCGCTCCCCACCTCCACAACGCTCCCGGGATTTAACCCTTTGGCTGCCTTCTCTGCCAGCACGAGGGTCCGAGACTAATCCAGCTCCCGACCCAAAGAGCCCAGCACTGCCGGGCACCTAGACGCTCAATAAAACCCGATAAATAAAGGAGTTCAGAAACGTTCATCCGTCTCGCCTGGGTTTCTCCTCGTGGCGAAAGCAGATTCTGAGCGTGACACAAGCAACCCCCTTTCTTCCAGCAGACCACATCGCCGGGCTTCTCCAGAGATCTCTCCCTCCCCTGAGGATCAGTAACCTCCAAAGTCCACCCCGCTCCCGGAAGGGAGGCAGGGCCAAGATGAACAAACCCTGCTCTTAGGGGACTGAACAGGCCACAGCTAAGGGGCTGTGTTGTGCAGGGACATTCCATGCCTGCCTCAGAGGCTCACACCAGGGGCAGAGTGAGGAGGTCAGGAGGTTAGGGGAGCCCCCTCTGTGCTGATTCCCAGGGCTCCTAGAACAAGGGCCAGGCTTCACCAGGCAGGAAGCAGAGAACTATTTATTTATTTATTTATTTATTTATTTATTTATTTATTTGGACTTTATGCAGCCCCAATGGGGCAAGAAGAGACTTTAATCAGGGGAGGGAGTCAACCAGAATCAGAAAAGGTACAGTGAGTGTGAGAGCAGAGGAGCCAGAGCGGGTGGGATAGGACTGCGCCGGCAGACAAGGCCAAGCTCTGGCCCCTCTCAGCTGGGAGGGCTTGAAGCGGCCCCTGTGGCCAGAGGTTGCCTGGCTTTCTGGCTCCAGCTCCTAGGCATGGCTGGTGGCCACTGGTTCGGCCCTTGTCCCCAACCAGAGCTGGGTGGCCGTCTTCAGGCAGAGCTCAGGAAGCTGGCCACTGCTTCAGCTGGGCCCAAGGAGGCTTGAGGATGACAGAGAAAGGGAGAGGAGCTGGAGTCTGAAACCTCCCTCCCTCCCCACATGGGGTTGCTTGGGGAAGGAACAGTTGGGGCCACTTTTAATGTGTGGACACTTCATGGAAGTGGTTGGGGACAATTCACACTTTCTCCTAGGAGGCAGCGCCCCCTCGTGGTCCACGTCTCATACAGCATTGAGCTATTTCAGGTTTCAGGGCCAAGTTATCAAAGAACCAGGTTCGAGAACATCCTGGCCAAGCCTCTTGTTTCGACATGGAACCAGACACCCAGAAAGCTGGCGACGGGACCACGGTCCCTCAGCAGGTTAGCAGCAGTGCTGCACCCAGATCCAGATCGAGGTCTTCTAACCCCTGGGAGGATCCCACATCTGCTCAGAAAGCACACGTGTGCCCTCCGGAGCGGTTAGGATACCTCTGCCTTTTCCCCACGAAGCGCGTTTTTATATTTAAAAAGTAATTTCATTTATAAAATCTATTTTCTAGGGTGTGAAAATTTTCCTTTGTTGAACACTATGGGCTAAGCTCCTCCCATTTCTTTGCTTTTCTTACTTTATTATTACCTCTCATAACAGCATGTTCGACGGTACAAAACAATTTATGTGGGAGCTTGAAGGTTCTCACAGCGTCCTCTAATGGAGATACCAGGGCAAGGCAATCCTTCACATTCTGCAAAGAAGAAAGTTAGGCATAGAGAAGGGCAAGTTCGTTTCCCATGATAACCTGCTGTTTCTGACCAGAGCTTGGGCTGGCAGTCACTGGGCCCCTGCCATAACCTCCCTTGCTTACAGCTTATTTGGGGCCCAGTTCAGCCTGATGTCACAGTGCCTCCCCTCCCCTGCAGCCTGACCAGGGTCAGCACAGTGGAGGAGCCTACATAAAAGTATTCCTTCCTCTCTTGGGTGTTGCTGTGTCTGAAATCCTGCCGTTAGAAATCAGTCCCTGGTGAACAAACTATCAATACACGCAACAGTATGGTTGAATCTCAAAAATATTATGCTGAGAAAAAAAAAGCCAGTCACAAAAGAGTAATTTACTGTATGATTCCATTCATGTGTGAAACTCTAGAGAACTTCAAACTTAGTATTAGCGACTGAAAGCAGACCCATGGTGACCCGAGGCTCAATGGGCATGGGGTCTGCCTGGGGAGGAGCATGAGGGGACTTGCTGGGGTGATGAAATAATTTTTTCTTAAATTTTTCTTAAACAATTGATTTTAGAAAGAGAGGAAGGGGGGGAGAGAAAGAGAGAGAGAGAGACTTGTTGTTCCAACCATTCACTCACTCAGTGGTTGCTTCTTGTATGTTTCCTGACCGGAGATGGAACCCGAAACCTTGGCATATGGGGACGACACTCTAACCAACCGAGCTACCCGGCCAGGTCAGAAGTGACCTGCCTCTTGATTGTGGGGGTGCTCATATTGGTATATGCGTTTTTCCAAAATTCAAGAAACTGAACATTTTAAGTGGGTGAATTTGATTTCATGCAAATTATTCCTGAATAAAATTGATTTAAAACTTAAGTCTTTTGTCCCCTCTCCCCCATGTCCTTCTCTTTTAAAATGAAAGCAGTTTGGGGGAGGGGAGGGCAGCTCAGGGCAATATGTGGTTAACAGTGCAGTAGCCTGGGTTTGAATCCTGACTTCACCACTTAGCAGCTGTGTAAACTGAGCACGTCACTTAACCTGTCCGGGCCTCAGTTTCCTCATCTATAAAATGCAGAGGTGCCTCACAGAAATCTTGTAAGGCTAAAAGGAGTTCAGGCATGTGAAGTTCTTAGGGTACAGTGTTTGGTACACAGCCAGGGCCAGCTAGTTTTAAGCTAATTTAGGTGGAGTTGTAAAGGTCACTTCAAGGTCACTAGTTTTTGTTCTAGTTACTTGTTTCTTTTTTTTTTTGAGCAGTGTTAAGTTTACAGAAAAATTGAACAGAGGGTTCCCATATACCCACACAGTGAATTTCCCTTATTAACATCTTGCATTAGTGTGGGACCTTGTTATAATTGGTGAAATAATACTGATACATTATTATTAACTAAAGTCCACAGTTCACATTAGGGTTCACTCTTGGTGTTGTACATTGTATAATGTATAATGACATATATCTGTTGGAGGTGGCAGGAACGGGCACCATGTGTTAGACCAGTGGGCTCAGACTGGACCTGGATTTAGCAATCTCGGTACTTGGGTTCTGGCTAGGAGAGAATTCAGAGCCAAGACTCTAACTATAAGAGAACATTTATTTGGAAAGTTACAGAGGTGGAAGAAGTAATTTGTAGAAGAAATGAACTTAGGAAACAAATTTTAGGGTAAAGGAAGGGCCCTTGGAGCTTAGAAGTGAGGAAGGTCAAGGTGACATGACTGGGGGGAGGAAAAGCGGGGAGGGAAAAGCACAGTCATGTTCTCAGGAGGGATAGCATGCTGGGTTTTCCTTCTGAAGCATTTTAAGGGTGGAAATTTTAGAGGAGATCCCAGGGGAAGATCTCAATAGGATATTCAGCAGCTTTCCTTTCAGGGTTGTGGTCTCCACTGATTGATTGGTCGGCTCCAGGGCAGGAGCTCATTACTCAATGCAGCTGGTCCTGAGGTCATCTTTGGTGCTGCTTGTCTGGTTTTGGAGCTAAAATACAACTGAGGCCTAGATGTTATTTCTAAGGAAGAAAAGTCAGGGACTTCAAACCACTTGACCAGCCATATGCTGGGGGAGGAAAGGTCACCCTGGGGGTAAGGTCCCACCCTACAGTTGTCCTTTGCTAGGCACCTGGGGCTTTCCACCCTGGTGACCTTCTGTACCTGGCCCATCAGCCTTGCTCTGCTCATGCCTGTCTAACTGCCTACCACATATCCACCATTACAGTGTGGTGCAGATCAGTTTCATTGCCCTAAAAATCCCCTGTGCTTTACCTAGTCACCATTCCCTCCCTGAACACTTGGCAAACACTGGTCCTTTTACTGTCTCCAGGGCAAGTATGATAGGCAAGGGATCGATGTTTTTCTCTCACAGCGATGTTTTTTTCTCTCTCTCTCTCTAAAATCAATAAAAACATATCCTCAGGTGAGGATTTTTAAAAGTTTCTTTGTGTCTTTTCATGTCTTGATAGCTCATTTTTTTTTATTGCTGAATATTATTCCATTCTCTGGATGTACCACAGTTTATTTATCCATTCACCCACTAAAGAATATCTTGGTTGGTTCCAAGTTTTGGCGATTATGAATAAAGCTGCTGTAAATACTCGTGTGCAGGTTTTTGTGCGAATGTAAGTTTTCAACTCATTTGGCCAAATACCAGATTGTGCAATTGCTGGATTATATAGTAAGAGTATGTTTAGTTTAAATGGTATATACGCACAATGACATATTATCCAGTCTTAAAAAGGAAAGGAAATTCTAAAATATGCTACAACATGGATGAACCTTGAGGACATTATGCTAAGTGAAATAAGCCAGT